TGATCGATGCGGAATAAGAAAGATCCGATGAGAAGGGATCCTATTTCAAAAGTAACTGAAACCACCCAGAATCAAACCCACTCGTGGTCCGATTTTTCCGACGACGTACGATTTATCACGCGGAAAAAGCAGCAGCCGACAGCGCGAGACAGGCTCCCGCGCCGGGGAAAAGCGGTTTGTAGTTTTATACGCGCCTACGAATGCGCCGCTCGTAAATTATGAGCGGAATTATGAAAAAAGGGACGCCGCGGACCGCGGAATGAACTCTGTCAACCGTTCCGCCGAAATGGAACCGCGAGGTCTGTTCGGACACATGTACAGTGAACCCCGTTCGATGCTTTCGATTGATAAATTGCGACTCCGAGGGGATGAAACGCGACATTTTCGTCGGCCGACGTCGGATTTGCCGACTTCGATATCCGATTGTGTTACCCTCGTTAGTTCAATTAAGGGAAACCTGTTTTTCTTCGCAACGCGTTCGGTTAATTACCGTCGTACGTTTATGGAAGACTTGCCGACGCAAGTTCGCAACAATAATTGGGTTAACTCGCACGAGGAGCCAGGGGTAACCTGTACGATAATTAATTACCGGGTCAACGAGTCCGGCCGCGTTCCCGGTCCGTTTCTTTCGGATTTGTTCTTTTTTCTCTTTTTATCGATTTCCTTCGAGCGATTCGTTAAAGTCGAGAGTTGTCCGTCACGGCCCCGCCGAATGGAAATCTGTATTTCCGATATTAAATATCGCTGCGGATCATTATTTCCCTGGCCGGGGATTAATTCCGGGCTACCGGAAGAGGCTGTGCACATTTGCATTGCAAAGTTACGGTACCGCGATCCGAAATGTAATTTAAATGGAATCTCGTAACCTCCTCTCGTGGAAATTCTATTAGTACTAAATTAATGTAATTTCGTCTCCGCCGGAACGGCCGCCTCTTAAGCTCAGATTACATCCCTTTTTTATTACGGTCGATTTTAATAAAGTTGCTTTACCCGAATCCAGAGTAGATTTCTCTCCCGCTAATGCGGCGGTCGCGGTTTTATCTGTAATTCCACGTACTTGGCGAAACTGCCCTGCAATCGACACGATGTTCGGGGGAAAACTTCGCGATAGTGCATCAATCAGCAGAAAAATTAATGAAGACCTGTTCGGGGAAAGAGAATGGGAAATTGTTTTTTTATCGCGAGCATTCGAGGAACATGTTCAGCGAATGTTCATCGATATTCATCTATATTCAAGCCGAAAACAGTGAGAATAAAACTGTGCAATTTAGAAAGTTGCTTCTAAAGGGGTATTAAAGTTTATATGGAAAAAATTACTTAACGATCTCATTTACTCGTATAACTTAGTATAAGTACTCTGTAAAACAAATAATTTTATACGAGCTTCACCATTGTTTAACGTTAACTGTATCAGGAATCGATCAAATGACCAAATTTAAGAATCTGTGTTCTTTCATTTAACTTTACGTAAGTGCCTATATTATCAGATGAAACATTTTCCCAATTTTGTCTTTATTTGCCAAGTTTGTATTTATTTTTTTTTGCACTCGGAAGTATTCCGTTAGAAATATTTAACATTTTCTAATCAGATGCAGACGATATTTTTCGAAATTAACTCAAATCGTAAGTAAATTTAGAAACAAAGCTTTCGTTTCCAGTATTTCTTATTCCCTTTTTTCTCTTTTAATTCCAGTATTTCATACGACGATGGATTATACACCGTTCAATATCGAATATCAAATTTTATAGTTTCACTGCATCAAATCGAGTGACGACTGAGCGTCACCTCTCGAGTGCGAAGTGTTCAATTATACGAAAGAACCAAAATATAGAGTGTCAAATACCGACATGAATTTTATTTGCAAAGTACACGTTTCGAATGCATGTTATTAAAGATATTAAGAACCAGCCGAGCGAAGCCGGTACACGGCGACTCTCGCATTTCGTCACGGAACCGAAGTCCCCTCAAACGGAATGCCTCGAGGAGTAACACAACCGGAGAAGATGTTTTTCTGATTAAAGTAGATACGCACGATAACGCCGTCTCGGATTTATCTGGCGTCCCTCGCGAACCGTTCGATCGCATTCTATTACACGGGCCGCGCACACACGCGCGCCGCGCGCACCGAAGATGCACACGTACCGCGAGATTCTGACAGGAGATACCGGCTTCGATTCGCGAAACTTTATCCAGGACGTAGACGCGCCGCTAAACAAACGCTGAATAAGTTTGTCGGGAAGTCTAGCGGTACCAACAACGGATAACCGCGCGTCGTAACTTTTACGATCGAGACGGGACCGCGAGAAATCCCCTGACGGGTTTATGCAGAACGTTCGGTTACGTAACGCGGCGCGCTTTCATCGCGAGGAGGCGTAAGTTTTAATGACGGACAGGCGAAATGTTTGGAGAACGATGCCGCCACGCGGCTCGGAATACGCTTGCTCTTCAATCTTCGAGCAATTAATGGATAATTAGGGTACTCGCCAAATAAATCGAACGAAACGATCTGTTTACGTTTTGCTCTTTTCGACATCGACGATCTCTACTGTAATTATCGGAGCTATTTCACTCGCGCCGCAGACTTTATTGGCATAACAAGTGGCAACGACGAAATTGGATTATTTAAATAACAGAAGAGTACTTTGAAGCGATGCTTGAAAGTAAAACGTGCAATTTAGCTTCGTTCGCTGAACGTTTCGATACCCTGAAAAATCCCCGTCGTCGAACGGTTAACGTCCGTTCCATTTCTGCGAACAATGTTTCTATCTCGCCCGACGCTTCCCAGCCGAACGGTCGGACCAAGAAACAAAACTCGTTCCCAGACGACAAGGTGTCGAAGATTAAACCCATCCCGGCGAAATCTCGCGCTCGATAGTAGACGGGTCGTTAAGGTAAATCGAATCCGTTAACGGCGTGCTAACGCTAACAGGTGATAGGTCGATTACCGATGCATCCTTTTCCACCTTTTAGTTTCACCCTCGCTGTCTGGCAAATCCCTCGAATCGTCGCTCCGCTCCCCCGCGTCCTACCCTCTAATATTGTCAGACTGGAAATGAGGAAGAAAATCGCATCCTCCCGAAGATTGAAAAGTAAAATGAGGAGACAGAGTCTCCTGACTCGGGCGGCGAGCGGGAGCGGGTGCAGGTTTAAGGGTGTCGATCGTTCGCCCGGAACGAGAAAGAAAGTAGTCGGACCGAGGGACTCGCGAGGGGCGCGAGAAAGGGTGTAGCGGAAAGGATAGTCGGACGGGCGAATGGATGGAGAATCAAGGACGAGACAAGGTGAGGCATTTCTCGGCGGGTCGTCATTGGGGACTCTTGGGGGATTCCTCCTCTCTCTGCGCCCGGATTAAAGGAAGAGCCGCCGCCTTCTCGCTGCCCCTCCGCCCCCTCGGCGACCGGCGTATGTGTCGCGAAACGCTGGAATTTCGTTACAATGGAAAGAGCAAAGGAGTAGACCAATCTCGGGAAAAGGTTCGCCGGCCGCGCAGGGGGTTGGAAATAAATAGAGCCCCATCGGAATGGAAGCGGGGCTCTTAGTAACGACTTTTTACGTGCCGGCGAATCGGAGGCGATCCGATACACCGGGTTTCGCGAATTTATTAAGCCCGCCGAAACTCTGCGCAGCTCGGTGCTCGGTAAGTCCGACTTAGGGGACGCGGCCAGAAGTTGCCGTATCGATTTATGCGGTGGAGGGTTCGGTCAGAACTCGGTTGTTCCGAAGACAACGGTCTATCAGGCTGGCCGGTGGTCCATTAACATTTAGCGAACGGAAGATTATAGTTCTGGGCGGCTACGTTCACTGGACGGCTGTGTTCGTTCCGACTAGAAGATTAGGAAATAAGCTGCCTCCGGTTTGCCTGAACTTTGACGAACCCTGAATATGGAAGTTGTGCTGGCTGCGAGTGGTAGAGCGAACGTATCTGTAGTTGCATGTCCTGTTGTCACCTGGGAATCGATCTACCGTGTTTGAATGATATTGTTGAATAGTGGATTCGCGTGATTTATTATACGGTTCGTTATACTGCTCCTAGAAACAGTAATGTTCGTTTATTAAGATCTTGGATATTAGAGGTTTCAACGTAAAGGATTGAAGTATATGTAATTGCAGATAACGTTTATAGAATTCAATATGCGTCGAACTGCAGTAAACCCAGTATCGATATTGAAGATGATTTTTTTACAATTGTCTGACCAAGTAGCGATTATTCTACTGTTCAGTTCGTAGCTTTTATATCAGGACTATTGAATAAATCTATAGAAGTTCTTGAAATAATAATATAGGCGCAATTAACAAATAGTCTTCTCGCTTCTCGCAGTTTCGCTGGAGGAATCCAACGACTGCTTCACCGGCGAGCTGCAATCTGGGGAATTCGACGCGAATGCGCCACGCCACGCCGTATCTCGTTTTATTCGCGGATCCGACTTATAGCGGTGCCGTGCGCCGAGTCGCGTACTTCCTCGCCGAGCAAAGCACGAACTTACGCGCATCGACGCACGATTCTGCTTAACGTAAGATGATTATTCCGCTGAAGCTACTCCGCGAGACAAGGAACTGCTAAGCCGGCTATTCCAGTCTCTTCAGGATCCTCCCGAGACTCAACGGAGAATCGCGTTAGACGCTGAACGCCTTAAGAAAGTAAGCGTTCTCGAGAATATCGTGAAAGGACACGGCGCGGAAAATGGATGCACCGCTGTTCGGACGCCTCCGACGATATTACGAGGAGTTGGAAAGAAATTAGCGCGCTAAAATCCTAACTCGATTACGCGCGGATAGTAAATTTCCGCGTTTCCCACCGCGAAACGATCGACGTAGAGAATTTATATCGCGGTCGACGGCGTGAATCGATCGACCTGTAATTCACCGACCCGGCGCGTCCAATCAATCGTAAGACAATGCATCCTCAAAATAGCCCGAATCCGCATAAATAACTCGGATCGACAGTTTCGAATCGAGCTGCCATAATATTTCCCGCGGTATAATTTATATGCAAACTCACCTCCAGAACGTGCTCCGCTTGATTCTCCCGATCGAGTTTTCTGCCGCTGGTCGTGATCAAACCTGAAACAAAGGTGGTCGAAAAATTACTTCGGACTCGATGAATCTTGATTAAACGACGCTTCAATCGGGGCTAACCGAGGTCTCCCGGAACCGCCGATTCGACCGGTCTTTCCTCAAAGGATGGAAGAGAAAAAAAGAAAATATGGGTCGACCGGACAAAAGATTAGCTCGATGGAACGGACTCGGAGACGCCGGTGTTCAGAATTCACCGGGCGCCCGGTCGAACACTCGAACTTTTTTCCTCTCCCTATACCGGGCTCGTCCCTTTGATTTCATTTCTCGTCGAGGTCTATTTTATTCGTTGCTGAAATTCAACTGGAAAATCTGTAGACCGATGACCGGCGACCGGTCGATTCGGGTTTCGGGCCCGTTTTCCGGCTGCGGCTCGCGAGGACCCTTCGGGCGAGAGGACAAACGGACGCGCTCGCGTTTTCAACGCATCTGGCCGGGCACGAGTGTCGTCGGAAAATAATCGGGGAACCGAGAATTTCGGCCGCCATTGTCCGCCGACTCGTTTCTCGATTGCTGCGCTGACGTTTCTCGAACGTCGAAATAGTAATTGGGTTTCGCCCGCTCGGCTCGTCCCCAGGACCGTAACAATTTCGCGGCAAATTGCTTTCCACTGACTCCCCCGGACCGCTGCTCGCACCCCCCTTTCCGCCGACCGGCCAACTTTCTCTCTTCCCCGCTCGCCGCGTTTTTCAACGTTTTTTTCTGCCGCGGCTTCCGGGGGAACGAGCAAGAAATTTCAATGTAAGAGCCCCGGAGAGCCATCGGGAACGAGTTTTCCGCCTGACGCCGGATGACTCCGCCGGATGCGGACGCTTGCCGAGAGTTTCCGAACGGAAAACGGCGCCTGGAACCGACATCGCGGAACAGCGCCGGGAAGCCCTTCGGGATCGCGGTGTAGCGGGGCGCGAGCGACATTTTTTTTCCCCATGCTGTTTCTACGGCTTCCGGCAACAACGACAAACGCCGCGGATTTTATATTCTGGCAGGAAGTACTAATCACGTTACCGGCGAAGCCGTGTCTGCCACTGGAAGACAGAGGGCGAGGGGGTCACGGGAAATTTCCGAACTGCCGACTTGCGGTTTCGTTTAGAAGAAACGGAAGTGAGGGTTGAACTCTGTGTCACGTAAAAGTGAACGCTGCGACAGATGAAAGGAATTAGTTCTTAGAACAATTAATCAGAAGTATTAGATATTAAAGAATTAATTGAATCAGAAGAAGAACTTAGAATAATTAATTTATCAAGTGTTTTGGATAAGAGGAACAATGTAGTTGTATTATTCTGTTACCGAATCCTCTCTTTCGACGGCCCTAAGGTAAAAAGTTAGGAATATCTAAATACTTGAATTCGAATTTTTAACGACATTTCTAAAGGATGATTAAGTGTTTCTTTAGCAGCGAGGGAAATTGGTAGAATCTCATTTATACGGTGAACGGTTTGGCAGTTTCTCAAGTACGGTGCACTTTTGCGTGGTTCGCGTCGAGCCAATGTTCCCGAAGTCTTAAAGCCGATTAAATCGACGTCGCGCTGACCACGAGATTTCCCCGAATCGTTCGTGACAAACTCTAATAACCGTAATAACGAGATTCCTGGGGGGGTTGAGAGCCAAGTAAGGCGGCATTGTGCACCGGGAGTCGGCGCAGAAAATTTCCCGGAGATCGAGTGCATCGGCCATCGACAGCGGCCGTCAAGTGCATCGTCATTGTTCGCGAACTCGCCGATGCGACGCAGTTCCCTGCCCTGGGACTCGACATGCACCCGGTAATAACGGGTGACATTCCGCCGCCGCGTTTTCCTCGTCGGAGTCCACAATCAAAAGATAGGGAAACGAGACGAGGCACTGAACCGGGCGGAGGGAGGTACAGGTGAATCTACTGGGTGACGAGTATACAAATTCAAATCCTTAAGAATAGAACAAGGAAACAGAATCACGGTAAAGAAGGGTTTAATAAATGCCACAAGAAACACTACACTTCAACCATCTTATATATCTTTTCGTGTTCCGTGTATTCTCTGCAATTTTGCAGGCATCCCGTAAGTGCACGAAAATCCGCGGTCTAATCACGAGAAAGGCGGGTTCAAAAATTTACAGGAAAATAGTACATCGCTTAATCTTAAACATAATTCAGAATAAAAAACAATATTACTTAAGAACACTTATAGATCACAGAAAGTGACGCGTTCGAGTTACAAGAAACTAACTAATAAATCCGAAGATTCCCACATTCCTAGATTATCTCGAGAACCGAAGAATTCCAGGTAATTCCACCGATTCGAAAGCAGAACGCATGCACGACGAACACGTTCACGGAATCGCAGTTTACGAACCGCCACATTTTTCTCGTTCGAAGCTCGACGACTTCGCGCGTCGCAAAGCGAGAATTCGAGCAGTCGTTGTTCGGGGCTACCTGTTTATAGTGATCCCCTTCGACTGCGCGAATTTCGCGACACCCTCTATACAGCTCGCGGTAGTAGGAGACACAGCGCGGCGTTCACGAGAGGTCGCGGGAAAAAGCGAAACGGAGGAAAGCGTCGCGTCGCACAGAGGGAACACGGTGAGCACGGTGTTCCGCACGGTGGAACGCATTTAAATAATTGCTTTTCGTTTTCGTTCCTCGCCCTCGTCGTGTCGGTGACGTCGACGGCGTTCCTCGTCGCTGCTCGTCGCCGCTCGTCGCCGCTCGATGCACCGATGCACCGGTGTCCTGCCGCGATCACGCCCCGCCGCGGAAAATTCGTTATTGGAAATCAGACGGCGCGCCGGCGACGGGACTATCCGTGATATTACAAACTGTCCCGATATTCCTGTCTGATTCGCCGAGCACTGCCTCCGAGCACGCTTCGCGCAAGAAACCGCGGGTAGATCGCGACGGATTTATTTTCCGTTACCTTCCCAGAGGATACGGACGGGATTCGGTGAACCGTCCTCGACCACGGATTTCGAAGCCCGCCGGGAAAATGCTTCGTGGCGGCCGATGGAAAACACACCGTGGAAAACCGTGGGGCCAACGTCGTCGCGGTTCTCCTTCGGGATCGTCTCCGTTTCTTTTTTTTTATTCCCTTTAAAGGGATCGTCTGCCGGATACCCGGCTCGCGCCAGGACCACGCTAAATTGACATCTTCGAGTCGGAGGGAAGTTCTACCGTATGTGAACTCGATCGAGCATAATTTCCAATTCGTTATATAGATTTCTAGCGATTCTATACGCAGATGTCGATCTTGATTCAATGGAACCGGATGTTTCGACTGTTTCGTTTCTATTAGATGTACATGGTTAAGTAATTTGAAACTATGATTACCGAACGAGAACTATGATATCTTACGACGTATTAAATGGTTTTTGAAGATCTCCAAAGCGTACGATAATAAACTGCACGCGTTACCGCAGCCGAAGTTTATTTCTCGATATGCACACGTCGACGGGGTTTTTTGACTCGAAATCAGGTTAACGAGTACTCCGCGCGGTCTGAATCAGGGTCAGAAACGTACCGCGTACAGATTTAATGAAAGGGAATTCGTGAACCGTGCTGGGTTGGTTTTTTGAATCTTTTTTTCCGCCTTCTTTTTCGGAGGCACAAGGTCGACCACGGTTTCAAGGATTTACCGCGGGTCGTATTATTTAGGCATGGGAATTAAGGATCTTTTGTCCGGCGTCGCGTCGGAGCCGGAAATTTCGCGTCGCGGAGTCGCGGGACCGAGATGGACTGTAATTTAACGCGCGTCGGTGGCCCCTTTCTCTCCGTCCCTCATCAGTGAACCATCGTTAATGCCCGTATATGAGAATTGAAACAATTGCCACCCCCGGTTCGACGTGTTCGTATTGTTTTGAATTGCAAATGCATCGTGCAATCTCTCAAATCCGGCCGTCCCATTTTCGGTCACGAGTCCGTCGACCCTTCCTTCTCCGTTCGATTCGTCGCTCGAGAAAATTCGCGGGCGTATTCGAGCCGCCGCCGCCGCCGCTAATCGTGCCCCGTGTCACGGAACTTGTGCAACCGTTGCTTTGGCCTCGAGGAACATGTACACCGACGGAGACTGCTACGCGAAGGAGCCGCATCGTAAAAACTGGCACTAGCCATAACACGATGACTTAATCTACAGCGGGATCCGCGCGGAATACTTCCCGAGCATTTGTTTAATTAAGTCGCCACTTAACCTCGCCGGTTTAATGGTCGTTTTGGGAATAAAACGCGGCGAGAAATAGAAGGCGCCCGTTATTTTTATTTCGAACGAGTCGCGGACATTATTACGGGACAGGGATTTTCAAACTCGGAAAAAACGTCGGGGAATCTGAAATTATCACTAGATCGCGGATCTGCATACAAATATCTCCTTTTATATGTTTCCTGTAATGAAAATTTTAATGGACTGAAACACGCTATAACACGTCGTTAAATTCTATTCAACTCCCGTCGAGCTGCACCGATCCTCCCGACTTTCGTGAATCAGAAACGCGGAAAAATCCTGCTCGAAGTTCAACCGATAATAGAGTTGCCCCTATTATCTGCAAGCGAGTATCGCGTCGAATCGTAACCGATCCATGTAAAACTGTTCCACTCGCTTCCCAGATTATTGAACGGGACGCCGATAAACGTCTACGGAGAACTATACAATATTTGACAGATACGACGCTGGTACGGCAGTTTCCCGGAACAAGAACATATTATTGGAAACCGGGGATTATCTGATCTAATCTCTGAATACCGTTCCCAAAACGCCCTCGTTATCCATTATTATTCGTGATATTCTTTAAACAAGAACAATACGTCGGCCGGCCGTAAATGCGAGACCGTTAATGCGAGCGGAGATCGTGCGGCGCTGATTCGCGGGCAATAACTTATGCAATCTCCCGTCTATAGCTCTTTGCCGGGTCTCTTTATCGAGTCGCCGCACAGGCTCGTCGCGACGCCATTTTCCGCGGATACGGGGAACTCATCGGGCCACCTCGTTTCCGTACGCGTCACGCCTTATTAAACAGTATTAACGTGCTATTCTGTAAGAATTGCATTATGCAGAAGGTCGGCCACTGGCCGAATGCAATTTTCGTGTTCCGTCGGCCGGCCTAACTGAACGATTAGAGAACGGAAGAGGAACGGAGATGAAAATTGCATCCAAACCCGGGGAACTGCGCGCCATCGCGGACGAAAGGGGACAGCGGCGCGCGTTGCATTGTTACTAATGTAACTGTATCGTTAGAAGATAACTGGACGTAAATATTCAGAAAATCCGCATAAGAGTTACATGAAAATCTACTATACAACGAGGATTAAAATTCCTATGCTTCAATTCCTTTGGACGTCCTATTTCAATAATAGTTTCAAAGCTCGCCGCAGCAGGTTGCATTTAAGCCAAGAAACTGGCGACAGAAAAACGTAACGCGCTCTAGGAAAAGCAAAGGTTAAAAGTGCAAAGAAAATCCCATCGATAACAGGAAACTGTCGATGAGACAGCAGTTCGTGATGATAGGCAGTTGACTTCGATTCGCGGGACAACTGTGTCACTGGGTCAATAGTGCATAAAGGCGCTCTTTGCCCGGCTCGAATATCGATCTAACTGGAATCGGGTTATAATAGGCATTTGATCTCGGTGTCCCTTAATATCGAATCAGCCATCAAGTATCTTTGAAAATAGACGAGAGCACGATTCGCCGAGCTAGTAATTGTCGAGCGTCGAACCGCTGGAATAAGACACCGATGGAAGGACGCCGACGCGTCGAGGATCCTCAGCATGGAGAGAAGCGTTCGACATCCTGTCAACTCGGGGAATAGCATTCTTTCATCGAGCAGCGATCCGTCGGGCTCGATATCCTCTCGCCTCGTCTTCACCTATTCCAGCGGATCCGATCGATTCCATCAGGCCGGGCTCCCCAAATCGACGGGGCGATCAATTTCGGCGCGTTCGCGGGTAATGCGAGCCCGCAAGAGAAAGTATGCTCGGTTCGCGGCTCGCAGAACGACCGATGGATCCCGGGTAAACGACCTATTCATCCTCGGCGAGAGAGGATCGCAGCATCTGGTAGCTCGTTTCGGTTCTCGCCGTCTTGTTCCGCAGTAATGCTATCATTAGGGGAAATCTGAATGCGGCTGGTGCTCCTTCGTTCCCTCTTCCCTCTTTAGCCACGGTATCGCCCGTGCGCACTCCGACAAAGCGTAATAATCTCGAGTAAATACGGTCGCGGGTGACCTCCGCCGATCCACACCGCGTAAAACGTTACGCGATCCGGCGCGTTTAATGGCTACGTGCCTGGTGGGATCGTACCTAGCCGAGAACAGTGCTACGCGATGAATATTGGAACCATTCTGAATTCCGTAACTCCGAATCCACGGAAAAGGAAATTGTAAAATTGCCAATTTATACGTTAGACGATACGAGTAAAAAGTGAATTTTCCAGATTTACAATTCATTCGTAGGTAATGTAATAGAAATAAGAGAAAATAAGAGATTAACGCTAAACCTATCAGACGGGTCAAATCATTCCTGATTTTTCCTTTTTGCTATTATTAAAAACATAACAGATATTCCTCTGAGAAGTTATTCAAGAGATTGATTTAGCGATACGCAAATTAAATTGTAAGTCTCGATAGATGCATTTTTGAAGTTGCTATAGAAGAATTTTGAGTCAATTTAACTGCTCGGCAGGTTTAGTGTTATATAAGAAATAGAACTGTAATTATTGCGTTACGAGATTTAGAGTGAACTGGATGAATACGAAATATTATACGAGACTTTTACGATTGCAAAGTCGTGACTTAAGTGCCGTAGTCGAAGCTGCACGTGAATGTTTAATACCGAATGTCCCTTGGATCTTATTCGACGCGTGTGTACGAATGTTCGATAAAGGGGAAATTCAGCGGAACGCGGAGCACGATTTATTTCCGAGGCAGTCGGTCAGCCAAGGAGCCAGCCGGGGCTCGTTCGATAAAATAAAAACGTGGTCAACGGACCAGCGTCGCTTTAATGCGGCAGCGGACCGGCCAGCCGGCGAAATAAAAACGAGCAGGGCTACGTATTTATCGCGGCGTGAATGCACTCCGGGAATCGATGATAAAGCAACCAGCCTTTCGCCGAGCATACTTTCGCGCGTACGTATTGTTCCCTCGGTGATAACCCGACGACATTTACAAGTGATACGGTCCTCTCTTTTCGCCAGCCTCCTATTTCCGCTCGCGGGAAACAGCGACGGATGTATCAGACGTGTGCCTTTCACTTCGTTCCTCGGAAACGAATTTTCTTCCGCTAATACCGCTACGGGATTCTCCGAGCTTTGATCCTTGGTAACTAAGAAACTTCGTTTTCAATGCGGATCAAGATTAAATTAACCCTTCGCAGCCGACAATCCTCTCTGAAGGAACATCGCAAAGGTAACACGAAAATCGAGTGCAAAGGGTTTAAAGTCGCGAGATAGTAACAGGGTAGCTTCAAATGAATTTCTCACTTTCGTAATTCCCGAGGAATGAATCTTCCTTCGATGAACATTGCTGCAGAATTCTCGTGGCTTTGATCTTCGGTAATTCAGAAATTTTATACGCATTGCGTACGGAAATGAGATTAACCCTTTGTGCTGGACTACCTCGTCCAAGAAGAAATTGTGAATGTAACGAACGTAAGTAGAATTAAAATCGAGCGCGGAAGGTTTAAAGTTACGGAACAGTAACAAGGTAGCGAAAGATAATATTTTATATTCAAGTCGCAAATGGAAAGCCTTTGAAACGAAAATACTTTGTTTTCGTCGGCGACATTTTCTTACGCGAGAGCGGGTTCTACATTTTTTCTCCGGAGTCCCGGCGCAAAAAGGAGGCACACGGAAGGGAGAACGGTTCTCGGAAATTCAGAGCCAGAAATTCGAACGGGAGAAGTTCGCCGCGGCTTCCGATGAATACGAATCAGAGGGTTATGCTCGACTTTTTAATTACAAGCCGTCCTTTACCGGTGTAAGCGATTTTCCGCGCCGCCTCCCATCGATCTTCGCGACGACTGCGGAGCAAATGGACAGCCGCGAAAGTTGCGGAAGAAAGGCGACGTCGGCTCGGGGGTGGCTCCGGTTAACCAAACCGGATGTGTAATTATGATCGTGTAATTACCTTTCCCATCGCGCTCGTTCCCGTGATTAACTGCATCTGTTCGCGAAAGGGAAGGGACAGCTGATGAATTTCCCCGTAGAACGTTGAGGAACTTTCGCACTTCAAAGGCCGGCGTCGCCTGTTCGCGACAATTTGTCGGCGGTACGATTTTCGCTTGTAACTAGAAATACCTCGGACTGTCTAGCAATAGATTCTGTAATATTGATTGGATGTTACATTAACAATGTCTAGATCCTGTAAGGATAAATCAGGAGTCGCCTGACACGAACAGCAGCGTTTACAACTCCGTACAATCGAGACTCCGGGACCATACAAGTCGGCGCTCAATAGGTTAGACGCGTTAGACAAGACATCGACAACCTTTGAGTTGTCTGCCGCACAATACGACCCATCGACCAGAACCGATAATGACGAAATTAGAATCAACCGACCTGAATTCACTTACCTATACGCGCGGGGCTCGATATTCTAAGATTCTAAAGAGCCGGGACAATGTTCTTGGCTCTTGCAGTCGTTCCAGTGAATAGGACTGTACTGGAATGACAGAATCCTATTGGAACAAAACCTGTCGATGATTCATTGGACCGATAGTGTCTTTCACGGAGTAGTGGCAAGAAGGTCGTCGTATACAATAGCAACGTCAATCTAAAGTTTCAAAGTCTATCTTAAAGAGTTCGATATTCAATGAGGGGATATTTAAAATTGTACGCTTAAGAGTATGTTTTTCTAAAATAAATAGACATGAAATTTGAATCGACTATTTTTAGAAATTTTAATGAAAAGCGCGAGATACGATAAGTCAAAGGATTCGTTCGAGTAAAGACGGTACTCCTGATATCGAGTCGAAGGTATAAATTAAAGGACTAATTTCACCCTCTGCTCATTTAAAAGTCTAATTTAATCGCTACCGGCCACCCCCGAAGGTTATTCGTCTAGGATCGAATCGAATTTGTATCGCAAATTGTCCCGCGTTAAAATTGATTTACGACCATTTGTATGCGTGCCTATTTACGCCCGGCTATTCCTTGACCCCTGTAACGGCACCCCCTTTTTCCTCGATAACGAGTTTCGGACTTTTCATCGTTTTATAATCCCGCGGAACTGACACGACCGAGTCGAGCGGAACGATGAATAATGAATCGGAGTTCGATCAGGGGAATTTGCATACGTTACTCCGCGCAAGTCGAAAACAATGGTCCTTTCCTTCCGCTTGCATGCGGTGAGTCACTCGGTCGCTTTCGCGAGCGTGAAAAACTGTGCGGCGTACACGCGAAATCTGCTCGGGACAATTGATTAATAAAGATGACTTTACGGAAACCGTGCAATGCACGGTAAGTCTCGCGAGAGTCAGAATTAACGAGCAAGGGAATATC